GCAACCGAAGCATCCAGAGCGCTGAATTTTTTGGGCATGGATTGGGAGTCATTGTAATAATTTTTAACACTCATGGTGGCCAGTCACAATTCCTTTAGCTATAAGCATCTGCCAGGAAGAGCGTGCCACTGGCAAAAAAAACCTGCGAGGGAACTGTGCAAAAAACGCATCCTCGTACCGGCAGCCGATACGCTTTCGACTAAGTTGCTTGTACGCAAATGCAAAAACGCATATTGTGACGAACCCGGTGTGTGTCTATGTATGTATGTATGTGTGTGTGTGCGTCTGTCCGGATATTTCAACTCGGCACGCAGGTAAGTTCCGGCGACAAAATTTTGTTGGTGGGTTCCCCGGCCAAGTGCCACCTCAGGACTGCGGCATCAATCTTCACGTAATTCTGAGCTCCGCATGCAAGGGGTGAAATTTTTGGCGGGAAAATTGCCAACTCGGGAACCAGAAAAGCTGGGAAGCTGAAACTGTGAGGTTATTTCCTCGTCTCCATCGAACTCAAAGATTTCAAATCCAGCCCCAGGCATGCGTGGTTCCCGCATATGACCCCGTAAGGGTTCCTGGCGCGAAAATCACTAACTTGGGGATCAGGAAAGCTGAGAAGCTGAAATTTTCAGGGAATGTTCCTGGCACATGTGCAACTTAACCAAATTCAACCCCTAATTGTGTGTGGTACTCACGTACGGCTCCGTAGAAATTCCTGGCGCGAAAATGGTCAACTCAGGAACCAAGAAAGCTGGAAGGCTGAAATTTTCAGGAAATGTTCCCAGCACAAGTACAATTTAAAGTTATCAAATTCAGCGCCTCAGTGCGAGTGTTTTTCACGTACGGCCCTGTGAAAGTTTTTGGCGCGGAAATGGATAACTCGGGAACCAGAAAAGCCCGGAGGCTGAAACTTCCAGGGAACGTGCCCTGCCCATTTTCGGCTTGGATTTATCAAATTCAGCCCTCGGGCATGCGTGGTTGTCACGTAACGGCCTCGTGAATATTTTTGATAGGAAAATTACTAACTCAAGAAAAAAATTTGAAAAGCTGAAATTTCAACGAAATGTTTCCTGTCCAAATACCGCGTAGACAGTTAACTTCCCAGACTCCATGGACCAGTATATCACACATTTCTTGCTACTGGGTTTCCGAGCGATCTCATCACGGCGCGAAATATTGCAAAAACGCATGATCGCACGGGCCAGTCCGGTGCGCGTTGCCAATGATTGTTGTGAGGCGCTGACCATGCATCCTATCCAGGCCCTTTTTCTAGCACCAGTAGTTGCTTCTTGTGGGTTTTTCCTGGTCCTCCTTCTTCGGCGGTATTTTCCCGATGATTTTTTGGTGATTTCTGGTCCCCTTCTTGTTGCAATCTTTTTTTGTGTTCCCTCGGTGACTTGGTCTTTGGATTTTTTTTTTCGGTGTTTTTCCGATGGTTTGTTTGTGAGTTTTTGGTTTTCCTTTGTTTTGGAAGTTTTCTTTGGTATTTCGTAGGTATTCTGCTGGTCTTCTTACGTGTTGGCTGACATGTTAACCTACAAAACTAAGACTGCTTGTGATTCCTGTATCAGTAATATTGGCGGGATGTTGGCATGCGCTAGGCATCGCTCTGCCAGGCCCTTCGATCCCGAGCCGCATACCTTCGCTTCTCGCAAATACGGGCTGTTGTTTCTAGGATCGGTTCGATGTGCGCTGTTGGATATGGATGATGCGAAATTGATTGCGAATATCCAGGAGCAGCTGCATCGGCTGATGCTACAGCTCAGTGAAATCGAGCACGAGAAGTTCGTTTTCGGGAAGATTGCAGTGTGTTTAACAGTCGGCTGAGGCATGCAAATTTTGGCATGAAATCCTCTTAGCACGTTGATTTATCGCATCCTGCTTGTGCAGGGAGTTTCACCAAATGCGCCCAACTTTTGATACTTTGATCGGCTGTTTCTTTTCTTCTCCCAACGTGTGCAGCTGGCAACTTCTCCATTCCTCTCTATTTTGGGCCTTGCAATCGTTTGGGCGAATCCTTCCGTCGCATCGTTAGCCTTTCCAGTGCGTTCGTTTAATGTCCTGTAGTTGAGTACCATTCAGTAATCCGCTTTGTCTCTCCGTTATCTCTTATTCTCCAGGGTGTCTTGAATTCCTGGAGTAGCTTTTGACTCGTAGTCTGATGTTGTCGTTGCAGGGATTCGTTGGCTGAGGACGAATATATGGAAATGAAGAACGATACGATGGAGCAGCTGAAAGTACATTTTTGTATTCCCAGACTAAAAGGAAGTGCGATTTTGCCCCAGAGACTACCATGAAGTTGACTTTTATAGAAATTTCTTAGGTTCTAATAAAAACTCATGAAATCCATACTGTGTGAAAGGAGGGAGGCCCATCAAATTGAAAAAACAGGCGGGAGAGTAATCCGGAGGATTATTAAGCGCCAAAGGAAAGAAATTTAGAGGATTCGTAGGCCCAAACGGAAAAGAATTCAGGGAATTTATTATTAGCGCAAAATGAGGGGTTTGATATGTGCAAAAAAAGGGAGCCAGAGGATTCTTTGATAGAAAACTTTAGGGATTCAGAGGGTTTGGGACAAAAATGGGAAGGGTTCAAAAATCAACAAAGAAATCTGGATGAGGAAGGGGAATTCATGAATTTGAAGAAAGGAATCCTGCGTTTCGATAAGCATTGAGAGTGATGAATCCGAATTGGAAGAAGTAATCGAAAAAACATATTTTTCACTGTCATCCATTCACTGAAAAAAGAAAAAATTTATTACTAGGAACTGGAGCAAACACTGGGCCGTATGAAATGCGGCGGTGTTTCGCTGATCGACGAGCTAACTGCTACAAAAATGGTTGGCACTTTACTTTTTGCATATTTATGAAAATTCGAATACGCATGTTAGGAAGAGGTTGTGCGTAAGCATATGAATTTGTGTGTATGTGTGTTCGCATTTTGTCATCCATTTTCAACTCAGCTATCAAAAGAACTAAGAAGCTGAAACTTTAAATTCCCCCGCCAGGGGCGACCTTCCCCTTTAAAAATCACTGTTCTACGCCTAAAAGAAAGCGTGAAAACTTTTAACGGGAAATCGATTTTGCGGACTAAACAAGATGGGGAGCTGAAATTTCAGAATGGTACTTTCTGGCTCAAATTTAGCTATCAAGCAGAAATGTACCGACACATCAATGTCAGATATTGGTTGTTAATTCGACGGGGATGATATCGTAAGCACTTTCTAACTACGTACGTAAGCAGTTTGTGTCACTGATGACAGCAAAACAGCAGTGCTGGATATGACGGGGATAGCAATGGAGCGAAGAGCGCTTGAGGCGTTTTTCCAAGTTTTTTGTAAGCAGCTGGAACTCGCAAAATACGGCACAGTCAAATTAGAAAAGAAAAATCTGAGGTATAAAACGTCACGATTGTTTCATTACTGAATTAAGCTGAATCCATGTGAAATATTTCAGGCGATTCGGAGCGCGATTAGCGAGGCTTTCAAAACACCGGAAATCGTGGCAATGTTTGCGAAGAAAGAGCCCGGCTTGCTAAGGCTAAAACTCGTCCAGGTAATTTCAGCGTCACTCACTTCCACCATCTCCCTGACATCGAGAAACCTCCTTGGCGGTATGTGCGTTAGCATCCGACCGTAGTTTGCCGCGTTTTTATAAATGACAGATAGGCCGTTTGTGTTTTGTCATTACTGGCCTCAGTAAGGAAAGTTCCATTGCCGCCTCGCCTTAGAATTGCGTGTGATTTTAATTCAACACAGGCCAGTCGTGCATTCTTCTTTGCATACGCTGCTGTTGCTTTCTATAACTTCCGCAAAATCAAACAGTTTTAGTTTGATGCATAGGAGCTTGGATCAGCTGGCTCTTCGGCTATGCATTGAGCAACTGCTTTGACCACTGCTGCATCACCTAGGTCAGTTTGCCCAAAAATCTCGCCTTCTGTTGCGGATACCGGCTCAGAGGTTTTTCCAGCCGAAGCACTTGACAGTTAGTCATTTCGAGATGTTATTGGTGCACATTGAGCATCATCACTTCGTCTGGTACATTGCCACTCTCAAACAACGATGACTTCTTCATTGCCTTGCCGGCAAGGAATATTATTTGCTAGTATTTTTCCATTTCCATCCCGTAGATTATGGCCATATTCTTTTCAGCTAGAAGCTGATCATCGTTTACGAAAACTATCAGATGAAGCATACAATGCTCGGAAACTGGAAATTTTATATGCACTGTACAAGCTGAATGCTAATCTCTCGAACGAGGAGCGTGGCATCATCGAAATGGCTTCGAAAATTCCGGACTTGCATTTCGAATTGGCATCCACGCATTTGAGTTGTGATGAATCTCTCATAAATGTTGATTTATAGCCACGTTGTAAAATGGTGGCGAGTTTGGCGCACTGGCAAATAGTGCCACTCTGTGCAAAGGAGCCAGGTTTCGACTCCTCTGATAAGACAACCGGTCTCTCTATGATCCGTTCATTTGTTCTGATGGTAAATTGGTATTGGTGTGCTGCGTGCTAGGGAGTCAATTCCATCATCAGCTTGCTTGTAAGCAACCCTGGAATGACGGAACCGTTGGCAGTCTCAACGACGAGTGGTTGCTGTCGTCGTGCTGCCACGTGGGCTTCTTCCGACTGCCTGTCACTTATGGGCATTGTGTTTGGAAGTAGCTTTTGACTTATGATGTATAGCGTGAGAAACATTCATTATTTGTTTCTGTGTTTGAATAAATGATAATGTTTCTATAACATATTTCTTTCGTGAAACAAATGTCTCGGTCTCAAACGTGCTTTTATTTAATGTCTCCACTTCAGGACAGTTTCCTGCACTTACGCTGAGCTTCTTTTTCATTTTTTTACTTTTGTTTTGTACAGTTTTTTAGATATTGGTGGTTGTTTTTGAATATGTTACAGTCTTCCATCAGCCTATTTTTTTTTTT